CCGTGCCCAGTAATGAGCGCCTGCACCCCCAGTGGTCCCCTAAAACCGGAAGGTCATCGAGAAAGGCTGAGTGGGGGGGTCTCTGAGGTGATGGGGAGGAGGAAGCCTCATGGAGCCAGGTGAGCCTGGGTGGCATTCCTAGGAGTCTCAGGGAAGCAAGGACCCCTCCTCCCTCTTTCCTGGCCAGCCTGTCTCTCCAGGACCTAGTAAATAATTACTTGGGTCAGCTGGGGCTGGAACTCCAGCTGGGGGAGGGGGACTTTCCTTTTCTTGACCTCGTTTTTCCTCCGCCTGGGACTTCCTTCTCCCGGTTTTACACAGGCCTCCTTGGGTTGGAGGAGCAGAGAATGGAGGGAGCCAGGCTCCGGAGAGGGGTGAGGGGGTGGGGGGTGTTGGTTAAAACCAAGGGAGAGACTGCAGGGGAGCAGAGGGAGGAGGAGGGGCCCTGTTTACAGTCACCTGGCTGCTGCTGGTGCCCGGCAGGTGCTCTCTCCGAATTAACCCCTCGAGAATTGGTCAGGCTTCTGGACCTATGACCCCAGCCTGGGGTGCACCCGGGGGCCCTGGGGCTGTAGCGTCTCCCAGGAAAGCTGCCCTCAGCCTGGCCCCTTTCTCCCCCGCCCAGGTTTCTGCAGGCAATGGTGGCGACAGCCTCTCTTACACAAACCTGGCAGCTACTTCTGCCAACTTGTAGGGGCACGTCGCCGCCCGAGCTTCCAGCCCGAGACCGCGTTCCCTCTCCCAGCCTTCGATGTGAGAGTGGCCCCCTTCCTGTTCTGGACTGGTGAGCTGGGACTTCAACTGAGCTGCTCACAGCCTCCCTTACAGACCCCACCAAGTCCCCTAACCCATCTTAGCCCTGGTGAAGCCCATCAGGGCCCCTGGGGACATGCCTGGGCGGTGGCTCCCAGGACTGGCCCAGAAAGCCCGCAGAAAGTGGCAACTGGAATACAGCTGAAAAAAACGTGGCCTCCTCTGCTCTGACTACCGATTTCTGGTCTGGCATCTGTGTCCCCTAGATAGGAGGGGAGGTGAGAATGCGTGGGAGGGGGTCTGGAAGGAGACGCGGGGAAAGGCGGCACCGAGGAGCCCGCATCACTTGACGGGCGCGGTGGTAGGGGGGTTGGAGAGGCAATGACATTGGGGTGCAGGAGTGACCTCTTTCGCATGGCCGCTGGCACAAGAGGAAGGAGGAAACGAAACCCAGGTGGCTGGGCTCCGGCTGGGCTCTGGCGGGCCAGCATGACCTGCTCCACCTGTACGCCCCGAGGCTCACCCTGCTTTCACCCCGGAGGGGGGCTGGCGGGCCCACGCCCTCCTCACCTCTTGGCACGATGCCCCCAGGCCGGCTCTATTCTGAGCTGCCCGGGTGTGAAGTCAGTCCTCCGGCGGCGATAACCGCCGCAGAGTCAACACCGCCTCGCTAAGTGTTGGATCCGGGGCTGGCGTCGAGCCCGGCCCCCACCCTGGCCGCGGGCCGCCCCATCCGCCGGCTCGCTCTGGGGTCTGCTCCCCGCATTCTGGGAATGGGGAAGTGGTTCTGGTTCCCTGACCCCTTTGCACCCTGGCACGGTGCCCTCCCCCTCAACCACATTCCCTCAGGGCCTGAGAGCCTCCCGCGGGACGCCTGTCCTTGTGGGGGATGACGCGAGGCCACCAGAGCGATGCGCCCCCTAGTGGCCATAGGCCGGGGCCGGGTACGCGTGTGGCCGGAGACTCAGGCGCGCCTGGCTTGGGGGCCTCCTTCTGTCAGGCGCTCAGCCCACCAGGCAGCCCTGCTCCGAGCTGCGGCAGAGCACCCTGGGGCCCTCCTGGCCGCCACACCCGGCACGGAAACTAAGAGGAACGGTCGGGCTAAGGAAAGGCAGAGGTGCGCCTGGCATCAGTTTATTGTTTATAAACCATGAAAATGACAGCTGTTGTTTGGCACAGGCCTAGCAGTGCCTCCTGCAGCGGGGCAGACGCGGGCACCAGAAGCCTTGCCTGGCCCAATCCAGCGGGGATGCCCAACTCCGCTGGGGCCCCGAGAGAGACGTGGCACATTGGCATGGGTGAGGGACAAGTGAGGCATGCAGGGAGGAGGGGGCACAAGGGCCTTGCCGCAGAGGGCTGTGGGGACCCACACGGGCGAGCGGGGCGGGGCCCCTGCCCCTCACAGGGCCTGCCTGGGCAGTGCCTGGCCGAAGGGCCTGCCTGCGCCAAGGCCTAGCTGAGCATCAGTGGGGCAGAGGGCAGAGCTGGGGGCCATGCCGAGGGCCCGGGAGCAGGGAGCGAACCCTCCCAGCGTGGGGGGCGGGGCACAGGGCGGGGTGGGAGGGGCTCTTTCCATGACGGGTTCGGTGTGAGGGCAAGGGGCGGGGCGTGGGACAGACTCGGGGTAGGCGCCTGGATGAACAGGCGATGGAGGGAATGTGGACATCCAGAGAGGCGAGCAGAGGAGAGTCCCCAGGTCAAGAGCAGGGCCTGGGGAGACAGGACACAGGTGAGGGGCGGGACCACACGGCAGGGAGTTTGAGGGTGAAGCTGCCGGAGCAATAACCCGGCTCCAGGAGGTTTGGGGGGCCGGGGCCTAGGAGGCGCCTGAGGAGGTCAGTCCAGCTTGGCGAAGCCCCCGATGGTGACTTTCCTCTCAGGCTTGGTGCCCACGGGCTCCTGTAGCTGTACAGCGCCCCCTCCGATGAAGCAGAAGGCAGGGCACACAGGCCCGGAGCAGTCCAGCGGGCACTCCAGCAGTCCGCGGAAGGACACGGCGTCCAGGAAGGACACGCGGCCCCGCTCGTAGTCCAGGCAGATGCCCAGGCGCGGCGGCAGCGGCACCGTGCAGCCGGCGGCCGGGCCGTCCCTCCCGGTCAGCCCTGCGTGCGAGCTGGCCCCAGGTCCCAGCAGGACCTTGCCCATGCCCACGGTAAGGAAGGCGAAGGGTGGCGACGCCTCCACCGTGGCGTCCTCGGCTCCGCTGTCGTGTCCGCTGTCAGGGTCGTACCTGTAGGATCGGGCGTCGGGTAGGAGGGTGTTGGCGGAGTGAGGGAGTGGGGGGTGGGGCACCGGAGGACTGTGATGTCGGGGAACTGAGTGGTTGAAAGGGGCGATGCGGGGTATCGAGGAGAGAGCATGTTGAAGAGGCAGGGGCTGGGATGTAGGGTTGGGGGTTCGGTTTGGCAGGAAGAGGGGATCGAAAGGACATCACACCGGCGAGAGAGGCATCGGGGCACCGGAACGGCAAGGTGCTGGCGAAGCGCACCGCACGATGCAGCCTTACAGAGGCCGGAAGGTGGCGAGGAAGACTGGAGCGGGGGAGCCCTGCTGGGGGAGGGTCTGGGGGTCAGAGGGTCAGAGAATGCGGGGGGGAGTGAGGGCTGATGACCAAGGCCCTGGGGGCAGAGGAAGCGCAGGGGAAGAGGTCAGGCAGGTGAACGCTGGGAGAGGATCTGGGGGGGTCGCTGTCACAGCGGAGGGGTGTCAGGGGAGGGAACTGGTGTTGGACGGGAAGTGTTTTGAAGACACGGGACACAGGGAGAGGCAGAGCTGGGAGCAGAGCGTGAGTGGGAGGGTGTTAATGGGGTGCTGGGGATAATAGGAGGGTTTGGAGATGGAACCCTAAGGGGAGAATTTCTGGGCGCCGAGAAAAGGTGTGAGTGAAGAAGGGATGGGGCTGGGGGAAGGGTGTTGGAAACGGGGTCTCCGGGAGGAAAGAGGCTTGAGAGATGGTGTCTGAGCCCCGAGGGACAGGTGGAAGGGGGTGGAGATGGCCTGGTTCTGTCGTCTCTGCCCCCAGCCACACACTCCTGAAGCCGCCACCCTTCAAAGCCCCTCCACCGAGCCCACACCCCCCACCCAGGGCCCCCAGAGAGGCCTGACCTGGGGCTGATCACGTCGGGAGCACCCTGGAAGCTTTCCTGCAGCTTGCTCTCCAGTCCCACGCCCACCTTGACCAAGTAGGAGGCGGGGTCTACGGCGCAGGCCCAGTAGCTGCGGCCCTGGGTCACGGCCACGTCGCCCAGGACCACGTCCACGCTCAGGTGGCAGCCCGTCAGCAGCCGCTCAGCGGCCAGCAGCAGGGGCAGCCCTGGAACGCTCCGCACTGCTCGCTGGTCCTTGCTGATGGCCAGCCGCTCGCGGCTTGTGCCCCAGCGGCCATCCAGGAAGAAGTGGAGGACTGGAGTGGGGAGTGGGGGCGGGAAGAGACGGAAGGAAGGACTTCAGGGACGGACGCAGGCACCAGGGACTGCAAGGTGTTAGCGCACGACACTTCGGAGCGTGGAACACGTGGCAGGGGTGGCAGGGAGTCTGGGAATGGGGCCTGGAGGGCTGGAAGGGGGGGCGTCCCCAGTGGGCATGGGGCCCCACGGAGAGTTCTGGTGATGGCTGGGGGGTGCAGGGCCAGTGTCCGGCCCTCGCACATGGCTCGCCCCTTTGGACAGTCCCCACTGCTGTCCCGTTCCGCATAGTGACATCCCCACCACCATCTGCCTACAGCTTCCAGCCCACACTTTGTTCTTACATCTGACCCCACCCTGCCGTCCCTCACGTGGGTGGTGACGTGCCTCTATTAGGCTGCGCCCCAGGGTGCACACTGTCTTCTGGAGAGTAGCCTGACTAACATTCACTGAGTCCTTACTTGAGCCGGAAACATCGCTAGGACTTTGTGTGTACCAGTTCACTTAGTTCTCACAACGACCCTGTGAAGTGAGGATTGTCAATATCCCCACAGAAGATGACCTTGAAGTTCAGAGGGTGAACGACTTGCCCAAAGCCACACAGGTGGCAAGAGGCAGAGCTGGGACTCGAACCCAGGCAGTCTGGCTCCGGCGCTGGTGACCGTGACCCACTGCGCCGTGCAGTCTCACCCGCTGTGAGTGCCTGGGTCCCCGGGCACCCTGTGCCGCTCGTGCGCCCCGCCGTGCCCGCCCTCTGCCCACTCACCGGGCGCCGGGGGCGTGTGCAGGTGCACGTCCTCGCTGTACTCGCCGAAGCCGGCCTTGTTGCAGCCTCGCACACGCAGCACGTACACAGAGCCCGTGTCAGGGTTCTCGAGCAGGGCGCTGGTGCCCCTCACCTCCTCCCGCCGCTGCCAGCGGGCGGGGCCCGGCTGGGCAGGCGCGTCCGTGCGCCGGAACTCGACGGTGTAGTGCCAGGCGGGCGGCGAGTGGGGCGGCAGCCGCCAGCACAGGAAGATCTGGTCGTAGGCGAAGGTGCGCTGGGTGTCTATGACCGGAGCCTCGGGCACTGTTGGGAGAGACAGCGGTCAGGCAGGGCCTGGCCACCGGCCGGGCATGGGGGGCGGGCAGGAGAAGGGAAAGCAGCGGGAGCCGGGGGGTGAGTGTGGGTGAGAGGGACCTGGGAGGAGACCCGCCTCGGCGCTGAGCAGGTGATGGGCAGGCACAGCCCCAGCGGGAGGAGAGGCAGACGCACACGGGGCCGGCAGGACGGTGCTGGTCCTGCCTGCCACCCTGTCACTCTGGCTTTGTGTCATTTTTCCTTTCTAGGCCTCAGTTTCCTCCTCTGTCAGGTGGGGGTATCAGACCAGATGGGGACGGGGACCCTTCTTTCTATGGCCCTTTTTGTTCTATGAATAAAGGGGAGACTCAGGGAAAGGCCACTGGAACCCAGGCAAGACGGCGGTGAAGGGGACCGTGGGAGGGGGCTGGGGACCAGTCAGCAAGAAAGTGGGGCGTAACAGAAGCCAAGCAAAAGCTTGACGGCATGGGACAGAGTTCAAGGCAAAGACAAGGGAAGTCCAGAGGGCAAGGGTCACAAGGACAAGTCAGAAGGGTCACAAGGACGAGTTAGAAGGGCAAGGATTAGACAAACCCCTCAGGAAGGCAGAGGGCGGCTGGCCCTGGCCCAGGAGGACCGGGAGTCTGGTTAAAGCGGGACAGTGGAGGAGGCAGAGTGGGTGGCGGAGCTGCATGGGGGCGCGGGGCGG